TATTTTGGTCCTTATTTACACTTTTGGTTTCTCATAGCAGAGGAACAATATAATATTTACACATGTATATCTGATATATTTCACTTAAGAGTATGGTCTCAAGATGCATCCATTTACCTAGAAATGTCTCAAGATTATCCTTCTTAATCGCTGAGCAGTACTCCATTGTATATAAAATCCACATCTTCTTTATCCATTCACCAGTTAATGGGAATTTGGGGTGTTTCCAAGATTTAGCTGTTACAAACTGTACTGCTATAAACATCTATTACTGTGGTATGATGCTTCTAATTCCTTCAGGTAGATACTAAGAAAGGGAACAGCTAGGTCAAATGGAACTTCTAGTTTTCATTTTGTTGAGGAATTTTCATAGTAGTTGCACCAGTCTATGCTCCCACCAACAGTGGAGAAATATTCTTTTTTTCTTACAGCCCTGCCAGCATTTGGTATTGGTTGATTTCTCGATAATAGCCATGCTTTCTGGAGTGAGATGGAATCTCAGGATTGTTTTAATTTGCATCTCTTGAATGACCAGTAATGTTGAACATTTTTTTCATATATTTATTTGCTATTTGTACTTTTTCATCTGAGAAGTGTCCATTAATTTCTGATGCCCATTTTTGGACTGGGTCTTTAAATTTGGAAGTTCTGAATTTTTGAGTTCTTTATACATTCTACATAGTAGTTCTTTGTCTGAGAAATAGCAGGAAAAACCTTTTTCCCACACTGTGGGTTGCCTCTTCACTTTGCTAATGGTTTCTCTTGCTGTACAAAAGCTTTTTAATAAAATGAGATCCCCATTGTTGATTCTTTTTGATATTTCCTGTGTAGTTAGGGTTTTGTTCATAAAGTCTGCCTACACCAATGTCTTCAAGAGTTCTACCTATTTTATTTTCCAGTAGATTTAGTGTTCTGTTTTAATATTAGGTCTTTGGTCCATTTTGATTTTAGTTTAATGCATAGTGAAAGATATGGGTCTAGAAGGGCTGGGGATTTAGCTCAGTGGTTCTGCTGCCTGCTTCACAAGCACAAGGTCCTGAATTCGATCCCTGATACAAAAAAAAGAGAGAGAGAGAGATAGGTCTAGTTTTAATTCTCAGCATGTGGAAACCCAGTTTTTCTACCACCATTTATTCCAGTGAAGGTGTTTGGCACCTTTGTCAAAGATAAGGTGGCTGAGTATGTCTGGAGTTGTTTCTGCATCTCCTAATCTGTTCCATTGATCCTCAGATCTGGTGTTTGTTTGTTTTTTTTGCCAATACCATGCTGTTTTTATTACAGTAGCTTTGTAGTATAATTTCAAGTCAGGGATTGTGATACCCCTGCCTTGCCTTTGTTGTCCAGAATTTCTTTAGCTATTCTAGTCTCTTCTGGTTCTAAATGAATTTTAGGATTGTTTTCTCTAATTTTTTGAGATATGGTATTGGAATTTTGATCAGGACTGCATTAAATCTGTATAAAAATTTTGGAGGTATGGCCATTTTCACTATATTGTTTCTTCTTACTCAAGAATAAGGGATAAATTGTTCTTATATAAAGAAAACTACAGTTCTTTTAAAAAATATATAGTGATATTATGGCTACATTTTCTTCTTTTTAATTTATTTTTTATTAGTACATGTTTGCAATACATGCAGTTTACAATCATCTTAGGGAATGGGTACATGTATTGTTACAGATTGTTTCTTTTTTTAATCCCCTTCTCCTTCCTCCCTTCTTTAATTCCCCATTTCTCATTTTCATTCTTGTTGATATTAATCTTAGCTCATGTTCACGGCACAGAATTTTTATATTCATTGAGGTTATTAGGTTCCTGTACATGGCACACCTTTATTTATGTATTTTCCTTTTTACTTCCTCCCCCAAACTCCTTGCCTTAGCATCTCTCCCCATTTGCAACACAACATTTTCTTCTTAATTCTAATATTCTAAGAAAAAAAACCTTTCTAAACCATCCCAGTAAATTCAGGTCACTCACCCTCTAAAGCAGACAGCATTCAATTCATGGATGCTACTTAAAACCAGAGATCTGGGCCAGCTGTGAGACCTACAGCTGCAGACGTCCTGTGGGCTTCTCACCATCCCCAGGGAGGGTGTCTTTTTTAAACATTTTTATTTTTATTAGTACATGTTTGTAGTACATCATGCTTACATTCATTGTGAAGAGTTGATACATGTACATAGCATATATTAATTCTTTTTACCCCCCTTTCCTCTCCCCCTTCACCCCCTCATCCCCCTCCCTCCATCTCTTGGTCTTCTTCTCATTTGCAAAAGATTTATCTCCATGTTTCCTATTGTCTATCTGCTACAAAGAATGATAAATTGAGACCATTATGTTAATCAAAGTAGATCAGACACATAGCTTAAATAGTGTATGGTTTCTCTTACAGAAGAAACTCAAAGGGTAAAATTAAAGAGCAAAATAAAAGAATATCTTTTTATAATCACTATGTCATAGATTTCAAAATTTGAAGGGAAAAGCTGACATCTCAATTTTGTTTCCTCACAAATGCTGCATCCAGTTTGATTATTGGTTTGAATCTGGCATTCTTTTGATTCTTAAGAAATGTACAAATATTTTGCATATGAAGTCTGTTGAACTAGATAGGGTTGTGAGGTATTTAAATGCATTTTTAAAAATCTAATGTAAAAGCCTTATGGGCTCTGATATTTTTCTTTCAGGAACATATGTCTGTTTTGGATATTCCAAGTGTTTTATAATTTAGTGGTCTACAATGATTATAATTTAGATGTCCATGGCTGTGCCTGGCTTGTGGTCACAACTCATGAAATCATTCTGCTTATAATTATCATTGATCTGAAAAATTAAAATTTAATAATTTATTACTTAAAGGTGTGAGCAAGACAGCCCTGAGTTTGAATCCTGTTTTTCCACTCATTGACTCTATGACATAGGGCTAAGTACTTTTCTCCAGAAATCAGTTTTCTCACTTGAAAAATGGTATATAAGTGTATTTCTTTTTGCAATTATTGTGAAGGGTAAATTTAATACTAAAGGTAATGATAGCTCAGGACATAGGACAAAATAAGTAATCGATAAGAGCTGGCTATTGAAGAAGAGGTGAGATTCATTTGTTAAACACTTCAGAATTGAAACTCAGGCAAAGAGACGTGGAAAATAAAAACAGTTCTATGACTAAACCAGTATCCAAAAAGGAATTTTCCCTCAAATTTGCTGAGTTATTGCTGGGTCTGCAGAGCCTGGTTTCCGCTGAACAGACCCCCAAATTGCTGGCCTTTAGCAATTTGGTTCAGGCTATAATTACCTTTCCCTGAAACAGAAGCACCAAAGAGTACAAAAATGTATGCTAATTTAGTAATGCCAGTTAAGGAAGAAAACACATGCATAACGTGATATTTTTATTTACTGAGAAGCTAAAGTGACACAAAAACTATTTGTCCAAAGAAAGGGTCTGGGTCAAGTTCATGTCTTTGGTTTCATGTGTTAGAAATTATTTTCTTTATTATTGCAAGCTAAGTCCTTGTATCTTAGTGTGAAGGTCTGTGGGAAGATGAATCAGTGCCTAGGGCAAATGACCTTCTCTCAGTTATGTCTATGACCAGGAGTCTCAGATCCCATCCTCCCCAATCAGGACTCAGTGGTGCACACAGGTAAACAAGCCACAGAATAGCTCGTCCAGGACACCCTACAGTTCTGTGCGACAGGCAGGCTGGCCTGGTTGGGATCCTGGCTGGGACCTGTGCTGGTCTGGCACACATTCTAAGGAAGCAGAGAGTACAGGAGAACATGTTTGTGACAAGACTGCCATCATGCTCCCTTTCCCAGGGAACTCTGGACAGTCTTAGATGCTCCTTTCCCCTCCTCAGGGCCAAACATATTCATCTCCTTATCCTCAGTGGGGATTTTAGTTTTTCTTTCCCTTTGAAGAAAAACAAGCAGAGGAAGTGAAGGTAATGTCACAGCAAGCAATTCTTGGCAAGCCTTACAACAGACATCCCTTCAGAGGTTGTATTTCATCATACTATCATTTTATCTCATTCACCCAAACCACTATTCTCCAAGAGGCCGTTTCCTTTGGGTTGGAGACTCTCATGTTCACTCTGAAGCTACAAGGAGCACAGGAGAAGCCATGAATAAAATTAGCTGACTGCTGTCATGTGGATAACTCACATGGATGGGTTCTAGAGCTGAATCCTTATAACATCCCTTCAAAGTGGACATGCTGCTTTCTCTTCTGGAGATAAGGACTGAAACTGGTTAATTGAGTGACATACTCAAGGAGGCCCCAAAATGAGTAGTGACAAAACTTGAATTCAGGTTTCTCAGCAACAAAAGGTATAAGAGCAGAAACCAAGTCTATTATATTTTCTAAAATTCTATGGCTCAAGCTTAGCAAATTTCCACTTCATAGGCAAGCTCTGTGTTGCCTCTTATTAGAATTTTAGAACTTACATTTATCTCTGGAATATACAACTGGTTACTGAGGGAGGAACACAGTATTTTATTTTTCCCAAAACCCTCTGTGACCCTTTAAACCACTTTCCCACTTTCCTGTCAGTCATCTACTTAAAATTCGGTCGTGTTTTTTCCCCCTCTATTTCTTGTCTGTATATTCATTTCTTAATCCCTCTCCAAACCATGGAAGAAACTATTTTAGGACTTGAGTTTTCTTCTAAGCTTATTTCTGATGCTACAGTATAGTGTACAATTTTGGCTAGTCTTCATTTCATCTGAGAGCATTGCCTCTCCTTAAGTGACCTTATCAGACATGATGACCACAGACTCATACCTGATACATCATGCAAACACCAAAATAGGCTGTGGAAGTAACAATAGAAAAAGTACAAAAGTGTGGAAATGCTGCTTCATGGCTTTGAGGAGCTATGGGACAGTCCCACAGGTCAATACATTTTTATTCTTGGCATTGGAAAGATGGTAGCTAAAGTGACTCTGCTTTCTGACACTGAACCCTATTGTTTGGAGCAGTAGTAGTGACCTTCTGCTTCTTTTCCAGGTTCCGATGGAGGAGGAGGTTGTTGGTGATCTCTGCTCCTAATGATGAAGACTGGGCCTATTCACAACAGCTCTCTGCCCTTAGTGGTCAGGCATGCAATTTTGGTGAGTGGGAACTCGCCTCACTTCTGCTTTCCCATACCACTTTCTTCCTGGGAAATTCTAAAATGAAACACAGAAGCTTAGGTCAAACAACTATTCCCTGGTCCAGACTGCAGATTCCCAGACACATCTTTTATAATGAATATAAAGTTGCTTTCAGACTAGTTTTAGTTAATTACAGATGCTTTCTTTTATCTTATACCCTATAATGTTCTGCACTGAAGTGTTTGAAAACATGTACAGCTTTACTTTCAATGATCTGCGTTATTTGTCTTCTGGTTGGTTTAAAAAAAATAACTTGTCTCAAGATGATAAAACTTAGGTATTATCATTTACTTAGGTCATACTTAGGCATTTACATGGGAACCATCAAAGGATGCTTCTCCATAGATTAAATGCTTTATAATATAGAAATGGCTTTGGAAAATAATGTATGGATTGAAAGACTGTACCATATTATACCTTCTCTTAAAATGGATTTTGATCTATTCTGGATGCCAAAAAGACTGGGTACAAGATCTGTGTGAATAAGAATTTGTTTTTTTGTTTTGTTTTTTTTAAATTTTTTTTTTTTTAGAAATTTGTTTTTAACATGCTCCTTCTGGCTTGAACCACGAGTGGTACATGCACGACTGTCCCATGGGGTGGCAGCAGGAATGTAACACATTCAAATCAGAGCTTCCTGGCAGCAAGACATATAAATTATGGCCCTGTAGTGAATGTGTTTTAAGCCAAACTGGTCAAAGAGGAAAAGGTTTATTATTATTTTTGTAGTGAATTGCTCAGTATTTTGAAAACTAACATATGTGTTAGTTATTAAACATTATTCTACTGTGCTGGAAGAGCTAGTATCATTTTGAACATGTATGCAGTAAAAATTCACAGTACGTGGGGCTTACCATATCCAATGGTGAACCAAGAAGATGATGAACCAAGAAGTCACTACTGAAATCTCCAATGAGCTACGTATTTGCAGAGGGAGAATTTTGAGTCCTTAGTGGCATGGAGGGATGGGGAAGTAGCTAAGGGCCACAGACTTTAAAAGTCATTGTTATAAAATAGATGAATCAGCATTACTTTGGTAATTCAGCTAGGGAGAAGAATCATCTATTAGTTATAAAACTGTACCTGATTTAAAAAAATAAAAAGGTGTGATTTGATAAGTATGATCAATACCTAGTTCCTTGGTATGAATCAGTACCTATAAATTATAAATACATCTTAATTTTAAGATTTGCAGTAAATGAAAAGAAGACAGAAAACAAGCTTGAGATGGTAATGAATTACATGAATTTTTACTTCTTTAAAATTAATGATTTAAAACTTTATAGCAACATATAGATTTGATTTTACCAATATTCTTAGACACATTTTAAATTATTTTTTGCCATTAATGGTTCAGAGTAAGAGAGAAGTTCTTAGAGCAGTTATTACCTATCACAATAAGGATATAATCATGGTTTGTAAATTTTCTAAAGAAACGTTTGCAGCAGCTATTACGTGGTTTTTTATTTTTAATCTCAGCATACAAAGTCTGTATCACAACAGTGTAAGCAAACCCTTTTGTAATACACAGAAAATGTGAACAAGTCATCTTTGCCAGGAACAAATTCATGATCTTTTCATTTGAAAATATGACTCACCAATATTTAGAACAGAATACTTCACTTCTCTGGGAAAAATGTAAAAAAAAATTCTAGGAAATAGCATTTTGCCTTGAGTTTTGCTTCTTTTTAAAAGAGCCATCCCATGGCAGCTTTAAATCCCCCTCAGACAACAAATACTATCAGAAATATTTTTATTTCCAGGTTATTATTCTGACTGGGCTGGGGTCTTGTCTAAAACCATGAAATTTTTGTTATAATTTTAAATTTATTTTTTAAAGCTAGACATTTAAAATTACAATTACTAGCACTCATTAGGTGAACAAAATGTGTTTCTTTGTGACATTTTTATAAATGTATAAACCATGATATCTTTTAAAAAAAACCTTTAATAAAGATAACAATAATAGTAGATGCTGATTTTGACAGTACCTTTCCATAACTCAAAATAAAAGGAATGTATTTCTTGAAATTAGGTGATTTTGATAATTACTAACCTTTAATCAGTCCCTTAAGAAATGGGCATCTGATCATCTAATACATAAGCTGTTCTTTCCTTACTAAATTTTTCAGACCACTCACGAGTAGGTTGTAGATAAAGATTTGGTTTATGAGACTGATAATCTAAGTACACTGTATTACTTGTTTTTTTGGGAACAGCTTTCTCAATCTGGGTTCCTTCATGCCATTCATTAAAAGAGGTGATAGAAATTAAACCTGGGTGGGTCTGAAGTGTAGCACCCAGACCGACTTCGTAATACTTTCCATTGATTTGGTTCCGCATGTTTTGAGTGTTCCAAGGCTGGATGCTGGTGTCTATGTATCCCGGACCCACACTTGGGATAAACATTAAGTTGTACTTATCATGAAAGAGTTTTAGATTAGCCCAGTTCTGATGTGAGAAGCCATAAGTAAAGCCATTTGTGGCAAAATACATGTAAATACCATCAAAACCACTTTGAAGAATATCATTTTTATGTTTTTCTTCTACTAGAAGTGCAATAAATAATCCATCAGAAGGGGAATTTCGAACACTGTGAGACCCTGAGGTGGTTAACAGATTGGCCCATTTTTCAGGCTTTGTGATATAGGAATTGTATACATAAAACACAGGAAGAGATTTCCCAGTTCTTGTCTTGTACCTGTAAAAGCTGGATGATTTCCTATCTGTCTATAGTGTATTTGACATTTTGATACATGTTTTGATCATCTCAATTGCTATAGGGTTCTATGTGAAAAGAGACCTTTAGATTATATTTATGGGCCTTATCCAAAATAGTTGGTACGAAGTTATCGGTAGCTTCTCCATTCTCATCGTCTGAATCAGGTAGGTACCAAGATAGTGCAAGTACAACAAAAGAAGCCGAATGCATTTGTCTCATGTGAGTTTCTGTGACAGAAGGATCCTGAGAGCTGTAACTTCCCAACTCGCGATAAAAGCTGGAGCCAATGTTATCTAGGGGGTTGTGTCTTCCTTGTGGATAATTCTTGGCTATTCTAGGGCCCCAGTGTTCTAAGACTGGATGGTTCCAATGCATATATTTGCCATCAAATTCTGGATTTCCATACCAACTGTAATAAAATACACGCAAGAAGCAATTCAGAGGAGGCAGTTCTTCAAGGCTAACTTCAGAGGCTTTGGAAGGTTTCATAGTGATTTCAACACTTTTTAAATTCTTGGTATTTGTTTCACTCTTGATTCTGTCACTCTTTTGTAAGTCAAATTTTTTCCCCAAATGAACAGTGTGTTGATGAAGTTCTGGAAGAAGGTCAAGTTCAAAAGGAGCTCCAAGAGTAGCTGCATTTGGTCTCAGCATTTTAAAACTCATCATCACAGAGAAAATAAATAGAACAAAAAGTGACAATATGATGCAAGTCCTTCTCCGAAATTTTGCCATGATGACATCCTTTAAATTCCCAAAGAGTGTATGTTTTGCAGGCTTGGGGAGTTGGACATCAGCAGGGACTCGGCTGGCCAAGTGGCAGTGACCTGGAATACAGAGAAAGCCAAGAGGTGCTCTCTGAGCCCAAACAGCCCCGCTTGTCAAACACTCACTTCAGCCTTTTCGGGAGCCTTGAGGAGAGGGGCCGGTGGGGCGGGGTTGAAATCTTAATATGATGACAGCCTCTTTGTCTCCCTATTTCTTTTTCCTGAATCTTTCATCTAAATACTTCATCTTTAAAAGAATTCCAACAAGCTACTAAGTCATGACCTTCCCTCTTTTCCTGAAACTTTTGCTGAGGATGTGAAAGCAAGCTTTGCTTGCCTGTGTTTTCCCTTTGGATCCTCTAAATAAATGATAAGAAACTGCTGGTTAAGCCAACAGATTATTGTGCAAGAAACAGAAATAGTTCTTTAGCTGCCACCACAGCAATGTTTTCTGAGTTAAAGCTGTTAAAACTTCAGGCTTGACATTTTCAGAACTCCAATTAGCTTCTCAGCTATTTTATTGTTCCAGTGGTGACTTCTCCTTCGTCTTTATCTTTGTTTTCATCTTTGTCTTTTTTTGTCAGTTAATAGTGAGAATGACAGTTTAAGAACAAATTTATCTATATCAATCTATCCCCCCAATCCCATTTTTGTTAGTCTTAAAATCTGCAGTTGGTCTTTTTCAAGGTGTTAAAAGTGTTTTATCTTTTTATGGAAAAATTTAAAGATAGATTATTCTACTTAGGTTATGTTTTCACATATTTTTTAATTTAAGAGATTTTCAATTATTACTTGAAAGTAAAAGATGTCTTAGAGTCCTCTCTTCTCTGGCTTTTTTTCCCTCAGGTCTGCGTCACATAACTATCCTAAAGCTTCTGGGCGTCGGAGAAGAAGTTGGGGGAGTTTTAGAACTGTTCCCGATTAATGGTAATATGTTATTATTTTAAAACAGTAGAATTAGCGTTAATTTCAGTTGAAATTACATTAAGCAATGAGTATACCTCAAAGGTGAAGAAAGGTCACTGACTGCTTTTGTCACCATGTATGTGTCCCAGCATGTGTATAGGGTGGGGTGAAAGGACTGAAAGTTTTTAATACAAAATCATTCAAAGTAACAGTAAAATATCTGTTTTCTCTACTAAAATAAGGCATTTTTTGTCTGTAGAGGGATTTCTGGTTTACAAAGCATTTTCTCCTATCTCATTTAGCTCTCACAGTAGTTTTACCAGGCACATAGGTCATATTGCAATGATTCTCTTTCAACAAATAAGGAAATACAGTAAAAGGATAAGCAAAGCTGCAATTAAGTAACTGATTGAAGCTTTCAGAAACCAAATCCAAGTCTTCTTTCCAAAACTGAGGTCTTTAAATAAGATGATGTGTATAAAGTACCTGGCACAGTGCAAGGCAGAGAAGACTTCCTCAGAAAATATCAGCTCCTTTTCTCTTCTTCTTTTCACTTGTCACAATAGTTTCAATACATTCATCCAGATCTTAACATAATTGGTATTTTTTCACGTTTGACAATGAAATAAGCTTTTTGTTTGGAAGACAAGTGTCAAAAGGGAAACTATAATTGCAAAGAAGTAACGAAGCTAGTTGGAAATAAAGTTAGGAATATAAACAATTATCCTTGTTACTGGCAAATTTTAAAGGAGTAGATCTTTCCAGGGCTAAATTAAAGGACTGGTTTTATATTTTGTAACATTCCTATAAGAAATTTCATGTGACTCTAAGTTTTACACTAACAGTGTTGTAGAAGAGCAGGGATATTTAATTTCTAGTGGAAAACCAAACCAAAAATCAACAACAAATCCCCAGTGAACTTCTTTAATTGGATTTTGAGGTAAATAGAAGTTTCACAGGGCCATTACTATCCTCACAGTGGTTTCTTTTGACTTTTTATGAATTCTGCCTCTTTAACCCACTAACAATTATTTCAATTCTATTCTAGGGAGCTCTGTTGTAGAGAGAGAAGACATACCAGCCCATTTGGCGAAAGATATACGTAACTATTTTCAAGTGAGCCCAGAGTACTTCTCCATGCTTCTGGTTGGGAAAGATGGAAATGTCAAGTCCTGGTATCCTTCTCCAATGTGGTCCATGGTGATTGTGTATGATTTGATTGATTCGATGCAACTTCGGAGACAGGAAATGGCCATTCAGCAGTCACTGGGAATGCGCTGCCCGGAAGATGAGTATGCAGGCTACGGTTACCATAATTACCACCAAGGATACCAGGATGGTTACCAGGATGACTACCGTCATCATGAGAGTTACCACCATGGGTACCCTTACTGAACAGAAATATGAAACCTTAGCCCTAGCCAGTTTTTCCTGCAGCTGCTAAAGCCACAAGTCGCCAGCTACACAGGGGAGTTCTTCCACACTTTCTACATTTCCTGCCTTTTTTTTTCAGAGTTCTTTCAAGATTAAATAAATAGCAAATTTTTGCCTATTCATGAGTTGTTATTGAAACTTTAAATCATAAAGACATTTGTTTCTTTAACTGGAAACAATCTGGTGCTAAACAATGGTACTGAAAATGAAAGTTATTTCCCTTTTCTTATACGAGGGACATTATTTTTCATGTAAAATTCTATAAGTATTTATAGATCTTTTTCATATTTTTGTATTAATTGGTAAGTGAAAACAATGATTGCTAATGAAAATTTAAGATCACAGCATGTGTTCAGGAAACATCTCAACAGACTATAGATAATTTAGCACTTTTTGAAATGTCAACCTAAAAATATTTTAGATCTGCTTTGTAGGAGTTTCTTTCATGAAGCTTGATACCAAATGCCAGAAAAAGTACCAAACATTCTTTTGTTGTAATAGCCACTTCCTGCTCTGCTTCTGTTATTTTCAGTGCCTTTTCAGAGATAGATTAGGGGGCTGGGAAATCTTCACCAGACCCCGGGACTGTAGCCAGATGTGATCTTCAAGAATTCTGGCAGGCTGCTATTGAATTCTGGGTATGACTTTCTAGACCCTTCACACTTGACAACTGTATTTAACTTACTAAGGGGCCCATTACTGTATTGGTATCTTATTTTAAAAAAATACAACAAATGATATTATATTCAGGGTTTTTTTTATTTTCAAAGGCAAATGTTACCCAGTTAGAGCTGATAAAAGTGCAGCTGGATTACAAGATGGTTAATTCTTGTCTTTGAGAAAGAACATTTGTGTTCATATGTAGCTTACCAAAGTAAACTCTCTTCCTCCCTTTCTCCCTCCTTTCCTTGCTTCTTTTCTACTTTTTTCCAGTAACTATTTACTAAGTAATATTATTCAGTAGTGTTTATGAGCGTGTCCTCAGACAGGAATTTAGCATCCCGAAGACACTATCCTCTATCAATAACGGGGATACTTATTTTTTGGCACTGCTCTAATAACTAATTCTCCAAATCATCTTGGCATTGGTTGACTAATAAGCTCATATATTAATAGATGCACTCAAGCCATATGTGAATATTTGCTCTTAGTATATCTGTGCCTATTGCATGCACAAATCTATCTTTACATCATCTAAACTTTGTTATAAATGATAATAAAACTGGAATTTGTAACTCAATGAATGTGAGAAATCACTTATCCTACTTCTTATTCCCCATAAAGACCATTCATTCTTGTTTTATAGGCAATTGAGGCATGGAAAGTTCAAGTGACTTTAGAACACAATTCTTTAATGTATAAATTATGCTCTCCCCTTACTCCACTCCCATGGTGGAGAGGCATCCTCTTACCTCTTGGATAAGTCTGTACCAGCTGCTTGAGATGCATAGGGGAAGAGAGCTGGGTGGGTATGTATTGTTCTTAATATTTTTCCAAGGTGAACCATAACTAAAAATGTCAATAAAAATGGATTTTCTTACCATTCCTTCTGAAATTGTGCACAAACTAAGGGGCCTAAGTAATGTCAATTTTGGAGAGAAAGAGGAAAGGGAGATAAGGGAAGGAGAAGAGGAAAGGGGAGAGAGAGCTCTTGAAGGGGCCTAGACAAGATATATCTTTCCAGGTCACAACCCCAGTGTCCCACTTCTTCTAACTAGGCCCCACCTTTTACAGTTTCCACCACCTCACAATGTCATCAAAGGATTAATTAACTCACAGATAAGGCCAGAGCCTTCATGATCCAATCACCTTGCCAAAGCCCCACTCTGAACGCTGCTACATTGAGGACCAAGCCTTGAACCTATGAGCCTTTCAGGGGATATTCCAGATCGAAACTACAGCAGAACAATTTATCATTCCCCTCACAGCCAAGACTGGAGCTTCTACAGGCACCCAGGTTGCAAGGACTGTGAACATCTTGAATATTGGAGCCCCTCTAATGAGGCATACACTTATTTTTCAACACTGTTTCCCGATTTCTGATATCCTAAAACTTACAAACTGGGCAGCCCCTGAGCAGACTGCAGAGGCCTTAAATATTAGTACTTTCTTCTATAAAGCAAAAGAAAGATACCCTATTCCCCAATCCATGGACCACTGGAGCAGCATGAAGAATTTGGCTGATTTTTTATTTATTTATTTATTTATTTTCTTAAATTCTTTTATTGGTACATTTTAGGTATACAATACATTTTGATTTATCTTTGGGTGCTTGTACCTGTACATGATGTATCTTGGTTCTTATTTTTTCCCCATTACCTGTGCGCCCTTCACCCCTACAGCTGATTTTAAATAGCTAAAACTGACTCTGGATAAAAATGTTCTTTGGTTTTTCTTTTATAAGCTTCCTTTCCTCTCTTCTGGCTCCTCCCCTTTCCTCCCAGGTCCCTTTCCCACTATCCATTCTGACTCTCAGATGGCTACCGTTGATTAGATGCATGAGATGTATGTATTAAATGATATACTTTATATGTAATTTTACATATAATCTAAAACATATTTAGGTTTTATGTAATTTTATGTAAAATTTTACTTATAAATCCAAAGTAGTATATGTGAAATGTAAATACATAATATAGAATATATAAGTATAAAATATTAAAAATTTTAATAGCCAGTTTTTCAGTTATAAGGGAAGTGTATGTGTTGCTTTCAAGACACTTCATTTTAACCTGAATTTTCACCAAAGCAGAGGGCTTAATCCAAAACAAGGGAACAGAGTAAAACTCAAGTGCTATCCCTTTCCTCATATACAGTAGATGGTATTATCCCTATCTTTATGGAACTGGCCCTTAAAGCAGGACTTTCAATCAATATAGAGGGAAAGCACACAGGCACTCAGTTCCCTCATTGTACATTTCTGCGTCTCTGCTTCCCTTCCATCTTCTTGAAGCAACTTCTAGCCCTTTAGCATAAGCTCAAAGATGACCTTCAGTGTCCAGGCAAAGAGAGATTGGTAAGGGAGATTCTACTTACATTATTTTGTGGTAAATTTACAGGCCTGATTGGAAAGTTAAAGCTCTAAGATGAGTATACAGGAAGTTTAAGAACCTACACAAAAGGCATTCAAGTATTCAGGCTTAAAATATAGCTTACCTACAGAGGAAAAAAATGTATATACACACACAAATTCATATATACATTTATACTATAGGGTATACACACATATCATTCATATATGTTTGTCTTTATGTCTGTCTCTCTACATATATATAGATTTTTCTTTTTTCAGCAAGGATATCAGCCAAATACTCTGTCAGAAAAGTAAAATCTATTTTAAGACAGTTTCCTGTTGAGATGAATTAGCATTAAAAAGTTATCAATGGCCGGCCTAGAGGAAAGGGCTTTTGGGCCGCCTTCTGTCCCGCCACTCCCGGCCCACAGGAAGGGGCTTCCAGCCCACTATCCATCCCACCTCTCCCGGCCCAGAGGTAGGAGCTTCTGTGCCGCTGTCCCACTGCTCGCAGCCCAGAGGAAGGGGCTTCTGGGCCACCATTCCTACCGCCACTCCGGGTTCCTGTCCCACCTCTCCCAGCTCAGAGGAGGTGAGCCACATGGGTGCCAATAGCACTCCCCCTACCCCCCCAGTCGAAATGAGAAAACACATAAATAAGTCTCAAAACCAGACTTCCAGATCACCTACAGCAACCCTAAAGGGAAATGAGATGGAACACTCTGATACTCAACCACCTGGACCCACTGAACTGGCAACAAAAGGGGATCTGGAAAAA